AAGAACTATTAAGATAAAATCAAAGAAAACTCAGATGAGTGTGTATAAATAAATGTGTACATGTATGTGTAGTGTGACCTAAGTGTAAGTAGCAAGACATGCCTGTAATCTTGCATATTTATGAGACAGACAAAAGACACCAGCAATCCTACCATCATGTAAAACAATTACAGGCTTTCGTTTTACACTCACTTGGCAGGACGGTACTACCTCCCTGGGTGGTTGCTGTCTACCAACCTACTACCTACTAAATATATCTTTGTATTATACAAATTTTGATTCATTTATAATTAATATTCTACTGTACAACTATGAAATAATTACTATCCTACTGTACAACTATGATATACTCCTTAGTATTAAGTAGACTGTAAGCCAATAATGTTAAGTTGGCCCATAATGCCTAGGCATACTACAGGCTTTCTTTGTATTGCAACCCACTATTGTAAATACAAAATGTCAATGTACTGTTTGCAAAGACAAAAAAAAAAAAATAAAAATAATGAAAATTATAGTAGCATTTAGAGACTTAAGTAGTGCAATGAGGTCATCATAGTGTTTACTCAATGATCTAACATTGTAGTTGAAGACTGTAATGTTGTTGCTGACACTGAAAAGGGTATTAGCCTGACTAGCAGTGTAGTAATGGCAATTACTGTTAGGATTGTGTATGCTGTTCAACAAGAGGTTGATATCAGGATCAATAATTGCATTCATAAGGGGTACGTAGAGAAATAGCTGTTACAATTATTAAAGAACAAAAAGACAAAGCAATGATGTTAAATCACTAACAATTATGAACTTATGAACTAAGATAGTTATTTTAAATCTAAAAAATAATGGAGCTATCAAATATCAAAATAGAACACTTTAGCACCTTGATTATTTCAAAGTTAAAAGTAATGGTTTCAAGTATAAAATAAGAAAAAAAACACTAAAGTACCTGGATTAGCACCTTGAATAGCACCTTAGGTGTCTTAAGTAGCTGGGAATTAATTACCGTTATTCACTAACAGTCATGAAAATATGGAATAAGAGTAAATTCTACTATATTACAGCGCTGAACATGGCTGATAATGTGTTGAGATATGGCTTAACAAGGTTCAGTCAAGCCAGTGAATGAGAGGAAACATGCTAGTTCTTGATCACTTGTTATTTCAAACCTACGACCCGTGTCTGATAATTTTACCATGATAATGCCATCACGAGTAAAGCACTGTTTTATTGATACATTATCACGCTTAAGTTTTTGAAGTCTATAATAGGTTCTGACTTTTTAGTTAGGCACTCATTTATATACACATTACTCCGTTTCTTGATGGAGGAACTTATTAGATCATCTTTTACATCAATGGAATTGAATTTTAACCTAACACTTTGTTGTTGATCTGGCTTGCCTAGCAGTCAGGCCTCCTTGATATCACTGGTTTTAATGTTAACTTTCACTGGTTTTAATGTTAACTTTTATCTTGTCTTTTATTAGTTGGAGTGCTTTGATGGTGCAATTTTCATTGTTTGTATCTGGTGGTAAGGCAGAGCTGGTTAAAATGACAGTCTAGGAGCTTGTCTTGTTCAATCATATCCCTTTGATACTGGAAGCATGCATTCCACTGTGATTCCATGTTTAACTTTCAGTCTTGTGTAGCTTCTGACAGCTTGGTGGTGAGGGAATTTATTTGTTTAGTATGTGTGTGTATAGCCTAGGTAGTAGGTTGGTAGACAGCAATCGCCCAGGGAGGTACTAACGTCCTGCCAAGCGACTGTAAAACGCAAGCCTGTATTTGTTATACATGATGGTAGGATTGCTGGTGTCTTTTTTCTGTCTCATTAACATGCAAGATTTCAGGTACGTTTTGCTACTTCTACTTACACTTAGGTCACACTACACATACATGTACAAGCATATATATACATACCCCTCTGGGTTTTCTTCTATTTTCTTTCAAGTTCTTGTTCTTGTTTATTTCCCCTTATCTCCATGGGGAAGTGGAACGGAATTCTTCCTCCGTAAGCCATGCGTGTTGTAAGAGGCGACTAAAATGCCGGGAGCAAGGGGCTAGTAACCCCTTCTGTATATATTACTAAATGTAAAAGGAGAAATTTTTGTTTTTCCTTTTGGGCCACCCCGCCTCGGTGGGATACGGCCGGTGTGTTGAAAGAAAGAATGAGTGTCTATAGTTGAATGTAGGTTTGCTTGTCCTTTCGACGAGTTTATTATGATGTCTGTTTTCTATTTCACTAGTCTGAGTTTTGTGTTGTAAGATGACATTCAAGGTCTTTATTTCTCATGTTTTGGGTATGTAGAGAGCGCTCTAGGACCCCAAACAGTTTTTCATAGGCTTCGTTTTGTCGTCTTAGCATACTATTTTCCTGTAGAATTTTATCAATGGAGTTGGGTCGTTGTTGAGGACTGAATTCCTGGGCTATACCTTTGGGTGCTGACGATTTGTAATCTATGTTGCTGTTTGCAGTGAAGAGGTCTCGGGTGTTATCCGTAGTTGTAGACAAGTCAGCTTGGGTGCGAGTCATGGATGAGAACGAGTGTTGAGAGAATCCAGAGAAAGTTTTGGAGTCGTCCGCCACTGTTGTTGTTGTGTTGGTCTGGGCAGGGGTGAGGGGGGTGGAAGATTCGTTGGCGTCCTTCAGGGCAGACATTATGGGTAACAGTTTTCTAGGAGGTTTCGTGTCTGTCTTGGTGTTGCTTTTTCTATTCTTGCATCACATGAGAACGCTAGTGGAGTTGATATGGAGTTATTGTTGTGATAACTGTTGCTTGGCTGGGATATTGTCTGGCAGCAGGCTGGTGTTTGGTATGCCAGGCAGTCCTCTATTAGTCGTGTTTGGTCAGTTTTTTACATCTTTAGCAGCTTTATGTTGGTTGTTACTGGTTCCATGTGGGTCAGTGCAGCAATACAAGCAGTTAGGCCATAATAGGAGCTGTGTAGGGGCAGGGAACTGTAAAGATGTAGGAGTAGCCGTTGTTGTTGTCACCTACTATGTATGATAATCTATGTAACTATATTTGTGTACACTTGAATAAATTTACTCAAGCACATGTGGTGTTGTAAGTTTATTTAGGTATACACAAATAAAGTTACATAGATTATCGTACAAAGCAGCATGTTTGGAGACCTAGGATAACCAAAAAAGTCAGACAGACGTATTCCCATTAGGATCCCTGTACCATATGGTACAACGTACCATACTGCACATTGTACCATATATCATTGTGTGATATGGCACCATTGTATCATATGGTACCATTGTACCATATGGTGCAATGTACCATATGGTTCAGAACCATACAATTTCTCTTCAGATCCACTTCTATCAATCTTAGAGCTATAAGTTGGAAAGAGGAGAGTCAGAATTCGCCAGGGGAGTGAGAGCTTCCTTGCTGCCAGGCATGGCGAACAAAGCCACTTTATCGGCATTCCCACAAAGCCATGCAAGTATCCAGATTTTTTCTATAAGTGTGCACACTGACCACCCAGACCCATTCTCTTAGATGTAGGCCTACCAGCCTTCTAGAGCTAAATTTGAGGCCGCTAGAATTTTGGCGTAGTTCTACGATTTGGACTCGACTCAAAGCTGTAAAACTACGGCACGGACCCTGAAAGGGTTAACTTAAGCTTTAGCTTGCCTGAATAACTTTGTATAACCATGGGCTTTCTACTTGCATTATCAAGTGTCACCCATTTCTGAACAGACTGTATTATGTAAAAATAAATTTTGAATCTGAATGCAAGGATGGCAGTTCAGTCTACTGTACTAATGCAAATTGTTGCTTTTGTGATATGGTGAAATATCAGATGTCATCACATGCCACAATATGTTCAAACATTAACCCTTTGAGGGTCGACAGGCCCTCTCCGAGACTCGTTCTCAGGGTCGCCCAAATTAAAAAAAAAAAAAAAATTTCTTATGAAAAGAGAGAATCTTTTCCAGATCATAATGACACCAAAAGTTTGAAATTTGATGGAAAACTTACGGAATTATGCTCTCGCAAAGTTAGTGGTCTCACCGATGTTTACGGATCAGCGATTTTGCCCAGTTTGAGCCCCATTTTCAGCCAGTTCCACTGTACTAGTCAACAAAAAACATGAATATTTCGCTAGAACTCCATTTTTTCTATTGAATGAGTGCAAGAAACCACCCATTTACCAATTTCAACTATCCAGTACAGTGGTCAGAATTTAGCAATTTTGCCAATTTCACACAAATTTCAAAAGATGCCAATTTCCGAATAGGGTCCAGAACAAACAAGAAATACATTCCTGGCACTAACATGACATTTCCTCTGTTCATTAGTCACGTCTCAAAGCCCCTCTTACATTCTTTTCCTTTCCACTTTGAATTTTTATTCTCACAAAAAATAGAAGATTTACTGTTATGCAGACTACTGCATTAGTGTAGAAATGGTATGAATCATATTGGCGCACTTGCAAAAGAATATTAGACTCACCAGTTGACGTGTATTGGACGCTTGGCATGATTTGTTTACTTTTGAACTTTGGTAAAAATTGAACATTTCTGCTATTTGAGCTCAATTTCAAGGTACTTTTCTTTGTAAAACCAGTCAAAATCATCTCAATTTCTATGATATGCCTTCCATAATATAAAATGAGACCAAGAAAACTAGAATACAACAATAAATACCATACGAAAATACAGTGCAAAGTCGCTGTTTTATTCCAAAGAAAACGGTCAAAGTTTTTTTTTCTCATTATGCACTGTGTGCTGCAGGATTTTTTTATACCATGCACACTGACCACATAGACCCATTCTTTCATATGGAGGCCTACCAGCTTTCTCCCACTAGATTTGAGGGCGCTAGAATTTAGGCGTACAAGTACGTCAAAAACCCTGGGTCGTAAGCCGTACTAGTACGTCCAAAACCCTCAAAGGGTTAATAGAATAAGAGTAATATCCATCATAAATTCCACAGTATTACAAAAAGCATTAATAACAGATAACAGGATCCACAAAGAGTATAATACCTGTAGTGACAGCAGGAGCAGGAGCCCAACTTGAAACATTAACACCCAGGGAAGTGTTGAGACTAACAAATCTGATGCATCCAGCACAGAATTTTGATATGTCATCAGAGTCACAAAGACTGCTATCCACAATCCAAGTGAACTGTACAGACCCTGGGGAAAAATTTGGAAGTTCTAAAATTCAGATAAAAATTTATTACTAAATAACACTTTAGATAAAGTAATTGATAAACCACTATTATAAGAACACAAATTATATTGCATTACATATCTATATATATATATTCTTTCTTTCAATGCACCGGCCTTAACTCACCGAGGCAGGGTGGCACAAAAAAGAAAAAAATTTATCTTTTTAACTTCAGCAATATATACAGGAGAAGAGGTTACTAGCCTCTTGTTCCCTGCATTTTAGTCGCATTTTACAACATGCACAGCTTATGGAGGAAGAATTCCACTTCCCCATGGAGATAAGAGGAAATAAACAAGAACAAGAACTAGCAACAAAAATAGAAGAAAACCCAGAGGTGTGTGTGTATATACATGCTTGTACATGTATGTGTAGTGTGACCTAAGTGTAAGTAGAAGTAGCAAGACGTACCTGAAGCCTTGCATGTTTATGAGACAGGAAGAAAGACACCAGCAATCCTACCATCACATAAAACAATTACAGGTGCCTGTTTTACACTTGCCTGGCAGGACGGAAGTACCTCCCAGTATATATATACAGTGGACCCCCGCTTAATGATCACCTCCCAATGTGACCAATTATGTAAGTGTATTTATGTAAGTGCATTTGTACGTGTATGTTTGGGGGTCTGAAATGGACTAATCTACTTCACAATATTCCTTATGGGAACAAATTCGGTCAGTACTGGCACCTGAACATACTTCTGGAATGAAAAAATATCGTTAATCGGAGGTCCACTGTGCATATATATATATATATATATATATATGCAAAACAACCACTCTGAAAGAATAGAGAAATTCCAAGCGCTTCGTGACTACTCACATTATTCAAGAAAAAAAAAAAATATAATATATATATATATATATATATATTAAATTTATTTATTATATATATATTAAAATATATTAAAAATATATAATATTATATAATATATTTTATATATATTATATATATTATTTTTTTTTTTTTTTTTATTATCACACGGCCGATTCCCACCAAGGCAGGGGGGCCCGAAAAAGAAAAACTTTCACCATCATTCACTCCATCACTGTCTTGCCGAAGGGTGCTTTACACTACAGTTTTTAAACTGCGACATTAACCCCCCCTCCTTCAGAGTGCAGGCACTGTACTTCCCATCTCCAGGACTCAAGTCCGGCCTGCCGGTTTCCCGAATCCCTTAAAAAAGTTACTTTGCCACACTCCAACGCACTAAAGTATTAAAAACCATTTGTCTCCATTCACTCCTATAAAAAACCGCTCAGCATGCCTGCGGAAGTCCAAGCCCCTCGCACAAAAAACCCCCTTTTACCCCCCCCCTCCAACCTTTCCCCGGCCGCCCCCTACCCCCCCTTCCTTCCACTACAGACGATACACTCTTAAAGCATTCTGTTTTCGCCCCTTTCTCTCTAATTCCAAACCCCACCTCAACAACCCCTTCCCCCTCAGCCCCTGGCCAAACAGTTTTTGGTAATCCCGCACCCCCTCCTAACTTCCAAACTACAAATTCTCTGCATTTATATTCCACCACACATTCCCTCAAAGACATCTCCACTGCCTCCAGCCTTCCCTCGCGCAACATTCACACCCACGCTTTCACACCCATAAAAAGCGGGTAAAACATACTCTCATAATTCCCCTCTTTCCCCCAAGGACAAAGTTCTTTGTCTCCCAGACTCCTAATGCACCACTCATCTTTTTCCCTCAAAATTCTTTGACCCCCTCATTTTCATAACCCCCCCCGCTGACACGTCCACTCCCAAATATCTAATACGTTCACCCCCCTCCTACCTCTCCCCCCAATCTATATTCAACTTCATCACCTAACTTTTTGATCCTCAAACCTTACTCTTTCCTTTTTTCACCTTTAATTTTCTTTTTTTTGCACACCCACAAATTCATCCACCAATCTCTGCAACTTCTCTTCAGAATTCCCAAGAGCACAGTGTCATCAGCAAAGGCGCTGTGACAACCCCACTTTGTGTGTATTCACGCCTTTGCTGATGACACTGTGCTCTTGGGAGATTTGAAGAGAAGTTGCAGAGATTGGGGAGAAAATTTTGGGAGGGGTGCAAAAACCCAATATAATATCATTTATATATATATATTAAATTTATATATTTTTTTAAAAAAACAACTGTCTCCCACCTGGTAGGGTGACCCCAAAGAAAGAAAATCCCCCAAAAAAAAATACTTTTATTATCATTCAACACTTGCACCCACTCACAAATCCTTTGCAGAGGGCTCAGAAAACAACGTTTTGAAGCAAATTTCGCTAAAATACACAAAATATCCCTCCAAAATGCCAAACCCAAACCCCCCTTTAAAGTGCAGCATTTTACTTCCCTTTTCCAGGGCCAAATCCGACTAAAGAAAATAACCGGTTTCCCCCGAATCCCTTCACTAAAATTACCCTGCCAAAAACCCAACAATCGTCAGGTCCCAATATCATTTCGTCTCCATTCACCCTATCTAACACGCTCATGCCGCTTGCTGGGGAAATCAAACCCCTCACCCACAAAACCTCCTTTACCCCCCCTTTCCAACCCTTTCGAGGATGACCCCCCCCCCCTTTTCCTTCCCCTATAGATTTAATTCTTTCCCGTATTTTACTTTGATCCTTCTTCTAAATGACCAAACCACCCCAACAACCCCTCTTTTGCCCTCTGACTAATGCTTTTATTTAAATCCCCCACCTTCCCTAATTCCACACTCCGAATTTTCGCTAAAATTTACACCCCACATTGCCCTTAGACAGGACTTCTCCCCTGCCTCCAACCGTCCCCTCGCTCTGCATTCCACCCAAATTCACTCCAATAAAGGTTGGTAAATATATTTCATACATTCCATTTTTTGCCTCCTAGATAACTTTTTTTTGATTTCCACATATACCCCAACGCACCACTCCCCTTTTTTTTCCCTCATCAATTCTATTTTTAAACCCTTTCCTTCATAAATCCACCGCCGAAACGCAACTCCCAATATCTGAAAACATTCATTTCTTCCATACCCCTCCTCCCAATTTGATACCCAAATTTTTTTTTATCAAAATCTTTTGATCCCCTCATCACCTTACTCTTTCTATTTCACTTTCAATTTTCTCCCTTTTTACACACATTCTAAAACTCATCCACAAAACCTTTGTAATTTTTTTTTTAAAAAATCCCCCATAACACGTATCTCAGCAAAAAAGTAACTTGTCATTCCCCATTTTGAATTTGATTCCCCAAAATTTTAAATCCCACCCCTCTCCCAAACACCCTAGCATTTACTTTTTTTACTCCCCCATCATAAATATATTAAACAACCATGGGAATTTACACTCCCTTCTAAGCCCTACTTTTACCGGGAATATTCTCCCTCTCTTCTACACACCCAAACCTAGCCTCACTATCCCAAAAAAAGCTCTTTACAGCATTTAGTAATTTACCACCTACCCAATATTTGCAAAAATCTCCCCACTTTGCTCCTCTATTCCACTCTTCAATCCTTTTCTAATCCAAAAGGAATAAAAATTTCCCCTACCTTTATCAAAATACTTTTACATAATGCTTCAATGTAAACACTTGATCTACACCCCCTCCCCACTCTGAACCCCCCTTGCTCGCCCCAAATTCTACTTCTGTCTTACCTCTAATTTTTTTCAATTTAAAACCCCACTGTATACTTTTCCCCGGTAAACCCCGTAAATTTTTCCTCTATAATTTTTCAATCTCTTTTTTTTCCCCTTTCCCTTTATATAAAGGGAAACATTTCCCCCCGCCAATCCCCAGGTACCTTCCCCTCTTTCATACATTTATTTAAAAAAAATACCAACCCTCCAACACTAAATCCCCCCCTTTTAAAAATTCTGTCAGACCCACATTTTACGCTTTACCCCCTTTTATTTACTAATGCCCCCGTCCTCCACCCCCTTTCTTCTGCTCTTCTTTTAATCCTAAAAGATGGTATACCCCCTGGCCCGTGCATGAAATTACCGCCTCCCTTTTTTCCTTAAAAATTTAAAAATTCCTCAAAAAATTCTCGCCATCTCCCCAATACCTCCCTCTCCCCATCTACTAACCCCCCTACTCTGTTTTTAACTGACAAATCCATACTTTCCCTAGGCCTTCTTAACTTGTTTAACTCACTCCAAAAATTTTTCTTATTTTCATTAAAATTTCTTGACAGTGCCTCTCCCACTCTTTCATCTGCTCTCCTTTTGCACTCTCTCACCACTCTCTTCACCTTTCTTTTACTCTCCATATACTCTGCTCTTCTTATAACACTTCTGCTTTGTAAAAACCTCTCGTAAGCTACCTTTTTCTCTTTTATCACACCCTTTACTTCATCATTCCACCAATCACTCCTCTTTCCTCCTGCCCCCACCCTCCTATAACCACAAACTTCTGCCCCACATTCTAATACTGCATTTTTAAAACTATTCCAACCCTCTTCAACCCCCCCACTACTCATCTTTGCACTAGCCCACCTTTCTGCCAATAGTCGCTTATATCTCGCCCGAACTTCCTCCTCCCTTAGTTTATACACTTTTACCTCCCTCTTACTTGTTGTTGCCACCTTCCTCTTTTCCCATCTACCTCTTACTCTAACTGTAGCTACAACTAAATAATGATCCGATATATCAGTTGCCCCTCTATAAACATGTACATCCTGGAGCCTACCCATCAACCTTTTATCCACCAATACATAATCTAACAAACTACTTTCATTACGTGCTACATCATACCTTGTATATTTATTTATCCTCTTTTTCATAAAATATGTATTACTTATATGCAAAACAACCACTCTGAAAGAATAGAGAAATTCCAAGCGCTTTCGTGACTACTCACATTATCAAGGAGTAGTCACGAAAGCGCTTGGAATTTCTCTATTCTTTCAGAGTGGTTGTTTTGCATATTCTGAAATCACCTGTTTACTGTGATCTTATTGCAAAATATATATATATATATATAATATA